AGCCATGTCCTGCGGAAGGTGCAAGATTGATAAGGAGAGTTTTCAGAATTCAGCGTATATTGCGGGACAGACAGGATCCTTTAGCTCAGCGCGACAGTGTGCTCATAGAGAGATATCGATTTTCCCGTGAGGGTATTATTTACTTAACCAACTTGTTGACGAGGGGGTGCAGGACCACCACCTGTCTTTTTTTGCTCTGCCCTTTTCTTGGTTGCTGTTATAAACAAACAAGATTATTTCAGGGTCTCTTTCCAAGAGACTAAAAGCAATATAAGTGATAAATATTACCATTCTGTAGAATATTCCTATATTTCACTTTTACTGTTCCCATGTTCTAGTGGGTCCTGTTGTGGCTCTAATGTGAAAGGGATATAATTAACATATAATATAATGATAATATAATATAATAAATTCTACCCTACCGCCTACTGGTGTTGGCCAGAGGGGCCGATGGCGCGATATGGCAGCCTGGCTTCTGTCAGTCTGCCCCAGGGCAGCTGTGGCTACAACCGTAGCTGCCTCCACCAGTGTGTGAATGTGAGAGTGACTGAATAGTGGCATTGTAAAGCGCTTTGGGTGCCTTGAAAAGCGCTATATCAATCCACTCCATTATTATTGTTCTTATTAAATTACTTACGAGTTTAATTTGTCAGCAACTTTCTGCCAGCCCTCTCTCCTTGCTTTTGCAGCCTTTGCAGTGTTCCCTTGCGTTTTAATTAAACTCTGAAACTCCTGAAATCCCTCACTCAAGAGTTCTTGCTCTGCTGCCGAAAAATACCGAGCCGAGCGCGCTCCGTCGACATTTTCGCCGACCAATCAGAGGGTTGCCGATCAATGTTTCTACTATCGATGCGTAGCCCCTTTTACGACACCCAGTGATGTCACATTACTGCGTCCAGCTGTACTAATCGTCAACAGCAGGTGTGTTCGGGGAACCGGATTAGCGCGCTCACGGTTAGCGCGATGGTTTGGTCTTGGATGTTTCATTTGATCTTGGATGTAGTGAGCGACGTACGAAGCACAGGGCCCTGAGCTCCATATATCGGTTCTTAAGCTTAACGTGGGAATGCTTTACCAAACATTCAGAGATGAAACTTACACACTTGCTTTACTTCTTGGATAGCCTACTCCAGTGGTTCCCAAACTTCTTATTGCTGGCTTGTTGTAGAAGAAAAATGTCCTCCCCCCCCCGCCGCACAAAACATCCTCCAACCACACACCCATATTTTGTCTCCATTGCAGTTTATTTCACACCTCAAACATTTAGTAAACAATTGAGCAAATACAAGTAAGCTGAAATAAATTTCAGGTAGCAAGAAAATAAACTACTAACTCTTTTACGCTACGGTCACACCTACACGGGTACTTTTGAAAATGCAGCTGTTTCTATGGATTTGGACCTTTTGACCTCGGTGATTTTTTAAAACTCAGTTTTTGCCTTCATGTGTGGACGAGGAATAGAGAGTTTGTCACGCAACGTCAAAGGTATGTGCCTTTTTTCACGTCATGCCAGATCAATGACAGATAGAGACAAAATACTGTTAATCTGACTATCTGCAGGTTTTATACACACACGCAGTTACTGTCCCTGTCTTTACAGATGTGGAGACTGAAAACATGCTGTTGTTTGCACATATTTAATATTCAGCTCTGTACAGGAGCTGAAGCAGGGTGCAGCCTGTTGCTTTTACAGTATAATACTTGTAATAAAAGTACAGTAACAGTAATTAGTGACTGAGCAGCCCGGGAGCGTTTCTCTTGATTTCTTTAGTAAATTCATTCACCTGCACAGCTAAACGAACCCTGACAGCCGAGTGCTCATCTTAGCTAGCTAGGTCTCAGGACCGAGCTAAGGACGGTAGTTACGGATTAGCTTACAAACACGTTTAACTTACCGAAAAAGTGCAGCAGGGGCCTCGGGTCCTTCTGTCGGGTAGTCCAGTTTACTGAAGAACACCTCAGGCTGTCAGGTTAAAACACTCGGTCGTGTTTTCGTAGCGTAAACGCTGGCCCTCCTCTCAGAGCCTACGCTCTATCTGCTATTCCCGAACAGAGATACGCAAGTTTCTCCGTGACTGCAGCTGCCAGTCAAAGCTGTTATGATGACGTTTCACCCCAATTTAACATCACCGCGGTAGGAATTAGAATCAAACTTATGGGAGAGGAGACCCCTTGAACATCAATCAGCGCGATGAGAACTATTGATAAACAAAGAAAGAATCTTTGGAAAAAATTATCTGAGGAGAATAAATTTATTTTAGTCTGACCCCAGTCCCATCCCTAACTGGAGGAGGCGGGGTTTATGACCTATACTGCAGCCAGACACCAGGGGGCGATAGAGACGTTTTGGCTTCATTTTTGGGGAGCTGTCGTGTCGTCCATGTTTTCTACAGTCATTGGTCCAAACGTTGTTTTTTTTTCATACCGATGAAATGCCAGTTTGGCAGCACGTAGCGAGGCTCCAAACGCTTTCAGTGTCACCGACAGGTCTCGCACGCAACAGCCGCTCTATCACGTGACACATACTGCTCCGACCTGGGTTACGCCATGTCGCAAGTTTTGTGAGGTGCTTTTGTGAAATTTAATGGATCGGATTGCATTTTTTATTTCTCCCTGATATCCAATCCAGTCATTTAGGTCAGGATACCGATACTGTATGTCGGATCAGTCAATCTCTAGTCAAAAATAAGCTCAAAGTTCTCAGCAGACGATTTGATATTGTTGGTGCCAATGACCTCATTGACCTCATTAGTAAAACTCTCTGGACCAAGCACTAGAACTTCAACAGTGCGTGAGGTACTAAGCCGGTTCTGTAATCTGTCAGTGACAATGGTACACTGATCTTTATCTAAGCATAGAAGAATTGCCAGTAATGCTGTGTTGCTGCTGTGATTCTGTTGAAGAGCACACTGAAATTGATCAAACGTTACTCTCCCCCAGACTACAGCTTTCATTAAGATTTAGGAGATAAATGGACGTTTGGAAATAGGCCTGTAATTGTGTAAGAGAGCGGGATCTGCAAAGGGGTCTTTGAGCAGAGCAATGATGGTGGCGGTTTGAAAGTAAACTGGCATGGCCTGATAATGCAGAGGAGCCACAGGGAGGTGACAGGTAGAACCTCATTAGGGAATTTTGTCCAGTGGGTAGCTGTGTTACTAAAAAAGACAACAAGATGAATTAATCAATCAAAACATGTAGCTTCGTTTTCACTGACGTTATGAAAGCACTCCAGCTATTAGCCAGTCTCACACTTCTTTCTTTATTGTGTCCCATCCTTTTTGGCAAATGCAGCGACACCCTGGAAGGCTGCGGTTGCATACAGGCCCAAAATAATATAAAGGGAAAAAAACAAACAAGAGAGTGAAGACAACAACATGGAGACAGCACAAGATGCACAACGAGATGCTGCACCAGTGCAAGCCTGTGCTCTGGCAACAGCAGCTCACGCTGACGGGCTGTCGGCTGGCGTGGAGGACAAGCCTGACCGCTGACGACTCCAGAAAAGGGAAGAAGACGACAGCACCTGAAAAGTCACAGAGAGTTCAGCCCTCATAGTCAAAGTTGTCGTGTTGGATGCAGCACAATGTGATTTGACTCTGACATTTTGGATGGCTGCCAGGTGGTGTTTCCTTTGGCCACTGGCCCTTGTTCCTCCTCCACTGCCACTGTGCTGCACGTCACCACTTTCAAGTACTGTGTTCTTTTGTCAGGCTCGATGGGTGCCCACTCGCTCCGGAGCGGTGACAGCGCTCTGATGCAGCAGTGAAAGGTGCACATGGGTGTTTCTGCGTTTCCCAGAACACTTTCTCATTGTTAGTGGTAAAGTGCACTTCACTCCACTTCCATCAGTCATCCCTGCTGACAGTGGAATGGAAGCAGCTGCCACCATGTTACGAATATATCTGCTGTAACAGTGACACCAATCCTCACGTTTTACATAACCGTTTCATACGTTTTACTTTCCTTCTTTCTTTTCTTTTTCCTCTTTTGGTCGAGCCGTTTTCATTTCTTACTTCTGCGTGTTTGCACACGCAAAATAATTTTGCGTGATTTCCATTCACAAAGTTTACGAGAACAAAAGTGAATTATTATTGAGAATTAGGATTCGGTTTGAATCTCAGTGTCAGCATCATGATGAGAAGTTGTGATGAAAAAGGCACTTTGCTCATGAACAACAGAAATATGATCGAATCATTTCATGAAACCCCCACCAAACTGCCACCGCTGGCTTAGATACAGAGACTGAGGCTGCAACCAAGCCCTGGCTGCTGGCAGCCTGGCTGTCATGCGTGCAGTGCTGGCCATCACTCCCATCTGTAATGCAAGAAATTGCACACATTTTAAACAACACACAAACCGCAAACCGAAACTGTTTTCCCACAATTTCATTGTACATGTACAGTGAGAATAAAGGGCTATTTTATTTTATTCTAAAGGCAGTTTTGCTCAGCAATGTCAAATGAGCAGCTCCCATCCAAAAGTCATTGCCTGTGCTCCGGTCTCACGGCTACCCATGGTCTTTACTTTGATCAAAAATGAACAAATGTTACACAGACCTTATTGTTTTCTTGCTCCACTGAGACATGTGGCTGTGATCTGTTTAAAGTTATTGTGGGCTTAGAGAAACTGCAGCTTCCATTATCTGCATTTATATAAAAAACGTTTGTAACCATCCCAGTGTGAAGGAGTACGGCACCCCAACAACAAACCAACACTAATGCCAATACCACTGTTACTGCTACTACTATTAATAATAATAGTACTGATGATGAGGGAGCCGTTTATTTTTGATTATGAGCGACAGGCTTCCCAAATCCACCTTCGCTTTTATAGCCGTGGTCTCTCATCTTGATTACACGAAGTAATTTGCAATTGCTACTCTGAAATATGAATTACATCTGTAATAATCACATACATGTAATAGTATGTTAATAGTACATTTCCCTTTTTTAGGAAATGACCTGTATGTATCTGTGTGAAATCAATAAATGGATCAGGTGCTGCATTGTCTTCAGTTACATTGATGTTATTTATTTATGGTGAAACAGTGGTGGAATATCGCTGTTGCTTTTGTATAAATGACGCGGGCATACCTGCGTGGCCGCGATCTAATCTTGTTTACATAAAGTAAACCTTCTCCCCAGCAGGTTTACGCTTACGGCTCTGTTGCTATGACAGCAAGTCCCGGATGGGCTTCGGGGAACCGAACGATCCAGGATCACGCAAAATCGTCAACAATCTCATCCAGCTAACTCACTTAGCGCGGTACGAAGAACAGGCCCCAGGTGTCCGTAAGTTGCGTCTAATATAACGACAGCGTAAACAGAATACTGTCAGTGTAGAGGATGAGAATCAGTCAGGACAACTCATGAAACATCAGGTGTGTAAGGTGTGTAGGAATTATTTTTCTATAAACAATTCCAGGGTTCCCCAACCTGCTGGATCTACTTTAACCTCTACCTGCTCTTCCTGTTTGAAGCAAAGTCACCCTCTAAAATTTTTCCTCTTTTTCTCTCCTGATGTTCTACTTAACTGATTTGAGCGGAATACCTTTATTAGAACTAAAATTTAGACTAAAATTAAGTTTGTTTTCCTACATACTAATATTATTTTATTATCACATTAATGCAGAACAAGGTTCAGTTAGCTTTGTATAAAAGTAGATGGTAGAAGCGTTCTTTAAGGAGCTACTTTTACCTTTTTTACTTTGAGTACATTTCGAAGCCTGTACTTTTTTAGTTTTACTTGAGTAAAGAAGTTTAACCGGTACTTCAACTTTTACTGGAGTATTTTTTAATACTAGTATCTGTACTTCTACTTAATTACAGAATATCTGTACTTTTCCCACCTCTGGACATAATTAATACCTGAGAACAGCGATGGCATCTTCTATTGTTCTGGCTTCCACGGTTCCTTCTTCAGGGATAACTCTGTTCACATTCTCCTCCAATGGAGTTTCCAGGTGGCTTTTCTCTGTGGGAAGAAATTTAAACATGGCACAATTACAAATCTAGATCATCTATGAATTTTATGAAGATTTTATTACTCTACAAGCACATGCTTGTCTTCAAAACGTGCTCAACCTTTCGGTTTGAGCTGGTCCTGCTCTTGCTGCTGCTGCTCATTGCGAAGCGTCTCCTCGATCTGTGCACGAGTCACTTTCCCACCAGATCCAGCGCCCTGCTGGGACCTGCCTTTCAGTCTAGCATTCTCCTCATCGAGAAGTCGCTGATTTTCCTTTTTCCTCTCAAGGAGTTCCAGCCTCTTTTTCTCCTTGTCATCCTGCAACATCAGAAAAAGTATCTGAGAGAAAAGACTCACTGCTCTTCTGTGCTTAAAGATTTGGTTATTTTGGTCACTACATGTATTAAGGCGCATGAGATTAGATCACAACCATACATGTACCGTCTGTACAGAGCACAATGAGTTTGAAAAAGAAATGACTAAATAAATCCCCGGACACATGTCTCTCCAGTCTAGTCAGTACATGTCTATGTATGACATGATGTGAAGCAGTGCAGAGTAATGCCTGATAATCTCTACTAAAGCAAACATAACACACAGCTTTTTTTCACATAGTAAGTCAAGTACCACTGCCTGAACACATGCAGATGCACTAACTGTTTTATATACACCCAATCAAGGCCTATTAACTAGATAATCTTTGATTACAACTGCTAATTTCTTTTTACCAGCATAAAAAGGATTTGTTTGACAGTACTAACTGGATTGACCAATACTCAGAACAAATGGAAAAGCCAAGGAACTCCATGAAGATCTAAGAAGGAGAGCTGTATATTAACACAAGTTGGAAAGTTCACTTGGAGACATTTCCAAACAACTACAGATTCCAGGATCACCAGTTTAAACAGCTGTACAAGTTGTGTACAAGTTATTCAGATTAGTCACTTCTTTATCAAAGTCTGGAAGAACACCCAAAGTGTCATCCTGGGATGACAGTAAATTGGTTTAGGATGTTCAGGAACAACTCAGAAACTAAGCCTGTAAACTGCTGAAGCGCCACAGTGTCACTGTCCACAGCGAAGCAAGTTTTATATCACCATGGACTGAGAAGGTATCAACAAAGAAAGAAGCCCAGGTTACAAAATCATCACCCTCAAATTTGACTGAAGCTGCCCACAAGGACAAGCCAAAGCCCTCTGGAGAAAAGTCAGCTGAGACAAAGATGGAATTATTTGGTCACAGTGACAAGAAGTGTGTTTGGACGAGTAAAGGTGAGGCTTTCAAACCTAAGAACATTGTAACAACTATCAATAATGGTGGTGGTAGCATAATGCTCTGGGGCTATTTTGTTGCTAGTGGTACTGGTACACTGCACAATGACTAAAAAGGAGGACTACCTTCAAATTCTTTAACTTCATGTCAAATCATCAACTAGATGGTTCAAACTTGGACACAGTTGAGTCTTCCAAAAGCACAATGATTCTAAACACGCATCAATGCTGGTTTTGGAATTGGTAACGCAGGCTATCATTAAACACATTTTCAGTAAATATGTGAACTACAAATTTACTGAAAATTTGCAAAGTATGCTTAGAAGTAGGTAGGGTGGTTGCCAGGAACCCATCCGATTTAAATGAAGTCTTGGTAGAGTCTTATTCTACCACTTTTCCAAGAAGAGTAATCAAATATCCAGCCAGAAGGTAATGGATGGCTGCCAAAAGCATCTAGTCAAGGTGCTATGGGACAACCGTGGGTAACACAGGAAGTCAAAGCTGTCCTCAACATGAAGAAGAAGGCTTTCAGGAGCAAAGTGAAGGAGGAGATGAAAGCAGCACAGCGGGAGGTGAAACG